AATTTTGTATTTATAATACTGAGTGTAACTAATCAATGAAACGGATTTTGTAGCAAATAAGCTTACACATGTTTTTATACATTATCTAATTTGAAACTCTTTATTGCAGCGATTAATCAGCGTGTGGCCAATTAGAGTGGAGTAGCGCAGTGATAGAGCAGAAATGAGGAAACCCAAAATGTTTGGTAAATAAATAAATGAATATGTATAATAAATAAAAAGGGTTTGTGCCTAAACTTGTTTTATACTTATAAAAAAAAAATAAATAAATTGTAGCTTTACCGTTTTGGCTGCTGTCACTGGCGTTGGTATGCGCCTGCAAAGCGCAGGGTGCCTTCGAAGATGCTGAAACATCGAATGATTATATGAGGTGAGAGCTGCACTAAAACAAAATTCGGATTAATTTTTTATATAAGCAACCACTTTTTCAATTAACTAATATATATATATATATATAAATATCTTATTGATTTTCTTTTCAGCGGCAATACACAACAACAATTCGATCTGCGTCACACAATACCAGGCGAGCCTGAAGTCGATTATCCCATCTACAGCGAGGTGCCAAGTACGAGTTTTGAGTGCACAGGAAAGCATGAAGGTTAGTATAAAAAGTGAGTTAAGTCTTTGCAAAAAAAAGTACAATAAAATTAGTTAGTTGAAACGTCCGTTAAAGATAAAGGTCAGTAGTCGATTGCTTTCTTATGAAGGAGCTCTTCATAAAAACCATTTCCCTTCGTATAGGTTTTTTGTTAAAAAAAAAACCAAGACGCACACTTTCATTTCAACGCTGTAAGCATCTAAAGATTATATTAGTGATTCGGTATTTTAGTCATCACGAAATAAAAGAAGCAGACGAACCCTTTATGGGTTTTGGCCATCTACTGAGAAGTACTGGAATAGTTTAACTTCAAAGAGAAATTCGCCATTGCTCTTTTCCACTTAGGCTCTGATGGGTATGTCTGTTAGAAGAATATCAAAAAAAAAACAGTTTAAACAGCCATTGCATACCTTACCTCTTTGTTAGATCTATAGTAAATCTGTGGTTACTTCAAAGCTAAACTCTAGCTGGTCGTTTTTTATGGCACGACCACAGTGTTTAATAGTCCATTTCCACCAGCGACTTAAGTGCAGTTAAGTGCTCAGGTAAACTCAAAGAACGTTAACATGGGGTGATCAATAAAGTTTATTTCTTACTTTTTGCTTCAGATTTCTTGTACTTAATAAGAAGAATTACCTTCCAGTTATTATCTCTTTTTCCCAATAGGCATAAACTGCAGTTAAGGCTTGGTGGAAATAAACTATTAATCTCCACTTTCATTCAGTAGTATAAACACTCTTCTTCGAAAATTGATGCCTTTGATTTAATAGCTTCCGCAGAAAATTAATCCCTCAATTTCAATCATGCTTGCATCGACAATAATCGCACTCTTCGGGTATACATTCTACTTGAGTTAACTTGTTTTTCTATCCATACACTGTGCAAGGGTTTCGCAAGACTTAGAGAATACCGCACCTATATCTGTGGAAATTTTCCGCTTACGACTATTGCAAGATCGCCACAAAACACGCAATAACTTCGTAGCCCCTCCTTATCCAAGCTTCAAATCAGATGGTTTTCTGCCAAGACTCAGAAAAAATCAAGATAAGACTCCACCTTGTGGGGCGCCCCTTCTGACAACTCCGGCTAGACCAGTGTGAACTACCCTTGATTCCCGGACTATTCGGTCTATAATTGTTAGTGTACGAACATCACTAGTATCGAGTCGATCGGCAGATCCATCAGCGCTGTCATAATTGATGACGACATGGTGTTGTTGATGGATAGGACTTCACCTTATGGGGTGGCCCTCCTAACAAATAAAATTTTTATATTTTCATTCTCTCCCTCAGGATACTACGCAGACATGGAGACCCGCTGTCAGGTGTTCCGCATTTGTACTCACACCGCACGCAGTATACATGGCTTCGGCTTCCTATGTCCCAACGGCACACTCTTCAGTCAGAAAAATTTCGTTTGCGACTGGTATCGAAACGTCAATTGCGATGAATCCGAACAATACTTTAGCAAAAATAGTGCGAATCGAATCGGCAGCAGTTCTGATATGTTGGAGAGGGTACGTCAAATGATGGAATATCCCATGAAAACGATATCACAAGCACTTCAACAACGGCCAGTCGTGCTACAAACATCGCATCATACGCTCAAGAAACAACTAGAGTTGGCGGAGAGTGGACTGGATGTTAGCGAGAGTGATGCAGTGCAGGAATCTAGACGCGATAGCAGTCAAGGCGCATATTTAGCGCGCAAGCAGCCAGTTACACGCGCGCCTGTCGAGTCTGTCTCACAGAACTACAACGAAAATCAGCAAACACAGTTGGGGGATGTTGTAACTCAACAACGTAAAAGATTGCAGCAGCAACGGCAACAGCAACGCAACGAAACAAAGAATCAAAACAGCAATAGTGCTGAGCTGGTACGCAGCAAGACGCAAGCGAAGCAGATAACGCAGGTGACTCAAGTGAAGAGCGCCTCAAAGCCGGAAGGCGATGATGTGTACGTGAATAGTTTGGGTGAATTGTCCTCTGATCCGGGTGTGAGTTTCATGCATGACACAGCACATATCATAGCGGAGGCACCGAGTGACGCCAGGAGTTATCAAAAGCAGCAGAATTTCGCCGAAAAAGTAAATGTTGCTTTAAATGATCTCTCCGAATTGCCTGCTGATGAAGTTATTGCACCGGACTATGTTAAGAGCTTGCGGCAACCCAACGAAGATCTCGTTTTGGCAGCCAACATAAATAACTTGCTTGAGGAAGTCGCTGATGATTTGGATCCTAGCATTTCTGGTTATCAAGTGCCAGCGCCGTCGAAGAACAAAAGCTCGTTCAGGTTTCTAAGTCGCGGTTTCTCGTCGCAAAGTGACCGCGCTAAACGACCACCATATGAGTATGCGAAGCCGAAACAGACGGCAAGTACGATACGATTTACGGTAAGTGTAATGTTAAAATTAAATTTTGCATGAAAAAGACGGAAATATGCAGAGAATTAGAAATAGCTGCTCATAAAATACAAAGCCCGATCATGTATCTCGTAACGGACACTCTCATTATTTATAACGTGAAATGATATAAAATTGTCGCATAGTTTTAGGCAGTGAATATAAAATAGGTGAATTGAAAATTATAACCTTTATAACCCCTTGTATGTTACATACGTATTTATAAGAGATCCAGTGCTATCTCATTAATCCAGACAGTCAGAGTCTTCATTACTAGAGTTTCCGGATTATAGAACTAACACCAAGTGCCTAAAAGCATATTATGTACTTCTGCGTGTGCAAAAATGTCCTTCATTAAATTTATGAAATTTTTGCAAATGCACTTTTCATTTGCCATATAATAAAACTTTCTTAAGTTATAGTTTGATGGCATTTCGAAGTGCGTTCAGCGTGTTCCGACGTATCCTCAGCTTCATATAGATACCATTGTCCACAGTTTCTACTCACATTTTTTACTTAAATAAATAACCGATTCTCGGCCTAGCCTGATACATCCTCCGTACAATGCTTCGGGAGTTATTTTCGGCCTCTGTGTTGCTTACAATCATGCAAGGTCGGTAACAGAGAGTTACCATTGGCCCCAGCGGCTACCCACTACTTTTTAGTCCAATAAATGTTTCTTATTACAGTATGAAAATTTATCAATCAATTAACAATCTAGTATTTCACCATGTTTGTTAATGTTTAGTATTTTGTGCACTCGTTTTACCATTTAATACTAATATTTTGTTAAAATTATGCGCCAATTCTTATTTTACGTGCAACTATAAAAGCGTCAATTACTGTCGAAATTCGACCGCTTCTCTAGTTTTTTTTAAAGGACCCCGAAGAATTTTTTTCAAATATAGCACTTCGAATATGAAAATGACTTTAACTACTACAGAAGTAAAGCTTATTTTAACTCAATTCTAGTTCGTGTCATATTGCAGACATTTTTATAAAAATTAATATTAACTTTATTCTTAGGCTTCGTCCTCACAGTCGTCTTTGTTTTAGTCTTTATATTCGTTTTAGTCTTTATTGCATCATGAGCCATACCCACATTATATCATTCCTTCACTGTTTCTATATTCTATTTTTTCTTTCTTGCTCTCGTCTATTTTCCATAATCGCTTCTTACTCTTCACCAACTTCATTACTCTACACTTGAAACACCAACACTGTATTCTTCGCTAACGCTATCATCGGCCTCATTTTCCTAAACAACACATGCGCGCGTGCGACTCGGAATTCCGATTAAGTAATTTTAAAGCCGAATGAGCTGCCAATCGATGATACCTACAAAGATACGAAGGAGTTCATAGCTCAAAAATCAAATGCAAACAATTCAAGCGGTACCGTTTATGAGAGTTCTGATGAGACTATACAATTCACCTTCATGACAACCACTCCTACACCCATCGAGCCGGCCGAAATACGAGTAGAAAACGAAGCAGCTGCCAAACTTGATGCTGATATGGCGGCTGAAATAATTGAAGCAGGTCAAGGTTTTAGTAGTGCAAATGATTATGGGACAACTGAAAATCCTACAGCTACCACAACGGCATCATCGAATGTGAATCCAGAGAGATATTATTTAAATTCTGTTGGCACTGTTCCGCTCAATTTGGATTTCGGCTTCCTTAGTCCACCAGAGCCAGAGACTGCGAGCGATGTGGAGGCTTCAACTGCTGATGAACCCACTCTATTTGAGTTCAAAGATTTTGATAAAGTCACCAGTCCAACGACAGAAGATTCAGAGCTTATGCTGCACCTTACACAACCGACAAAGGAAACTGACACAACCACAGAGAACTCAATAGTCGAGCAAAATGAAGAAAACACTACCGCGGTTGACGTAGAGTCTATTCTTGTGCAGAAAATACTTCTTCCACCTCCGAAACCGGCAACAGAACATAGCAGCACTACTGCAATACCCTCGGAAGAGTATGCGGATATAAAAACTTATCCACCGATATTGGATGAAGAAAAGTTGGATGTGGAAAATCAGGCTGCAAAGCTGTTGTTAGCTGGTGTGAAGTTAACCAAACACGATAGCAGCAACGTAGAAGAGACTGCTCAACGAGCGAATGGCTCATATAGCGCTGTACTGGACCCAACCTTTGGCGATGGAGGAGCGCTTTTCATATACGTCGATGATGAAACGGTCAGTGCGTATGCTAACGCAACCGACGCCGATGCACAGCAAGCGCTAAGCAGCACAACGACTACAACGACAACAACCACAACCACAACCACCGCACAGCCTTTGACCAGCACCACCGTCTTGGCGAGCATGAGCGAGGGCGGTAGTTTTCAGGAGCGCATACGCAATTATCGTCGTTTTGCTAACAAGCAGCGTGCAACCGCCAAACCAATAGTTTATGAGAAGCGCGCAAAGTTAACAACAACAGAAACAACAAAATCGCCCAGCACTAGCGCCACAACAACGCGTAGTTATTTGAAGCGCGTGGCAGCCAGCCGATTGCGCTTGTCGCGACTCGGCGCGGCAAATAATCGCACTGCTGCCACAACAACAACAACAACAGTTGCGCCTGTTGGTGATGATGACAATAGCAATGACGACAATGATATTGAAACATCGGAAACGAGCAGAAATATCTCAGTGCGTAACATCGACAAAGAATTGGGAGGCGGCGGTAAGCGTTATGACGCGCGCGGTAATTCTTACGACAGGGATAGCGCACGCAAGCGCGGCACTACTACCACCAGCACGACTGGCGGTCCGACTGTGGCGGACGACAGCAGCAATGGTGCGCCAACTAGGGGGAGTGCACGTAATAGTGTAAGACGCTTTCAAGTAAACCGCAAAGCTAGCACTGAGCCAACTACCATCGCCGATAACCAGCGCGCAGTGAGCAAACCAACGCGCAGCGTCGGGAAACGCATACGAAATCGTTTTTCGAATTTCAAAACGCAGACTAGTGCTACTAATGCGGTAACAACAAAGAGCGAAACGAGTACAAGTACGACAACATCCACTGCAGCGCCGACAACGCTGCCTGAGCAATCAGCACCGATCGGCCGCGACGCTAACTCACCAAATCGAATGCCAAATCTTGATCATTTGCTAAAATCTATAACTTCCTCTGTTTCCTACTCCACTTCATCAACTAAAAATCAACCACACGCCGATTCACTAAACGCGCCGCCTACGTCGGTCACTTACTCCATGTCCTCATCCTCTACTTCATCTTCATCTTCTGCGCCTAATGCCGCATCCTCTTTCTCCGACTCTCCCTCACTGTCTTCCTCCTCTTCCACTGTCACCACTCAAGATGACTCTACAACTTTTCTCGACTTTGACAAGCTAACACGCGCCATTGTTGATGATTCCGTTTTACAGAATTTCCGCAGTCAACAACAATCTAGTGGACCTTCCACCGCAGTCGCCTACCAGACTGCACCGAGCGCCGCTATGTCGCGCTCACTTTCGGTGGACAGTGATGTGCGTGCCATTGGTAACTCGGTAACGCAGAGTTATAATAAGCCACCGCCGCAAGGTGAGTTTGCGCGCTCATAAGCAAAATGTTTATATGTTGAAAACACACACACTCTACAGCTTGAGCATTTAGCGCATTAGCACATACGAACACATACACACACCAACATTGCGCTGAAAGAAAACTTTCGTCTTTCAACTATGTACACTCTACCTCTTTGCAGCTCCCGCCCAGCTAACGCCACCGCAGCGTACACAACAATTGTCACAGATAAAAAACGCGCATGTGCCCACTTCGCCAACGCCGCGCATTGTAATCGCGCGCGCGGAAGGTCAACGCATCGCACCGAATTCAGTGTCTTCTATTATTTCGTCGCTGGTGATGCAGCCGACAATCAAGCCAACAACGAATACGGCTTATGTGGCGCTTGATGATTTCCTCACGAAGAAATTCGGACAAACCACTACGAGTTATACGAAAACGAATACAGCAACAAAACTAACAACAAGCGAGCGCAATCGGCACCAAATAGTGCAGCCACCGCAGCAACAATACAACCAAAAATTGCAATCCAACTTCCAAGCTGTCGCAGCGACGGCAACAACGAATCCTGCACAATCACAGATACAACAACAACAAAAGTTACCAGCACAAAAACAGCAATTTAGTCAGCACTTTAGTCAGCAATTTCAGCAAACTCAGCAGCAACAAAAACAACTGCAACAGTTAGCGCAGCAGCAACAACTAGAACAATTACAACAATTGCAGCAACAGCAGCAGAAAATACAGCAGCAACAGCTGATTCAACAACAACAAAAACAACAGCAGCAGTATGCGCAGCAGCAGTTGAAGGAACAGCAATATTTCCAACAGTTCTCGATAAATGCGCGACCACAAGTGCAACAGCAGCAACAACAACAAGCGCCTAAGTCGATACAGCAACAATTTGGTGGAAATTCAATTTATACAGCGCCACAGCAGCAACAGCAGCTGGCGTTGCAGCAGCAAAAGTCGACATCGTGGCATCATCAACAACAACAGCAGCAAGTGTCGCAGCACAAGCAAAGTCAGCAATATGCACAAGAAGAACAAACACAATCACAACAACAATATCAGCCCCAAAAGTCGACATCCACGCAATTCTATTATCCTCAACAACAGCAGCAACAACAAACATCACCTTTTACAAGCAACTTCTTCAGCATCTTCAATCAGCGGCAACAACCACAACTGCCACAATTCCCTCCACTTGGCAATACAGCTGCTAGAGCCACTTTTGAGAGTCCAACTCCATCACAACAACAATTTTCCAGCGCCATTCTCAGCAATAGTATTGTGCCACCCGAACACGATAAACATGTGAATATTCAATTGCCCGCGCTCACCGTCGGTCTCATACCGGCGCCGACCGCGCTAACGCTAACCGCTCAACGACGCATGGATGTGGGCGCGGCTGCGGATGTTGGTAGCTCTAGCGCGTCTAAAGAAGCGCTCGGCGACGACGGTGGTGCCTACACCGGCGTCAGTTCTTACGATGTGCCACTGAGCAGCATTGGCCGTCTGCCGAACGATATAACACATCTGCTGAGACGATTGCGCAAAGTCAAATGATGTTTTGGTTGGAAGGGAAGTGGCTATTAGACGGCGACTAGCGGAAGATGCTCAGGGTAGCTTCAATATTTGCCACAAAATATGCATGTAATTATATTTGTGACGTTCTTTAATTTATAATTTTTGTATTTTTATTATCCTTTTGATTTTGTATGATTTCCATTACTTAGTTCAATACAGCATACAAATTGAAAGACAAAACTGCCATTAATATTAAGATACCTCATTATAACATTTGAACATAAGTGTACCTTGTAAGTGCGAAAAATCGAATGTAGATGTAATATTTATTTTTATTAAAATACACATAAACATAAAAAATATTTCAGCTTATATTTTATTTGAAATTATTAAGCGACCAATAAAATTAGGCCTTTCTGTTTGGCCTTACAGCTATTTGTTGGTTTGAACCGATATCAGGAAATTATCCTCTAACTGCCCTTTGCAAAGCTTTGCCTCGTATTCACACCAAGAAGAGACAGAATTTATCTAACTTTTTCCTGAAAGTTCTAGACAGCTACAGTCAACCTACATAATAACGGATAATAAAAGCGAAGAGAGTAAGCTTCAAGAGCTTTTGCGAGAACATAGCGGCAAGCCTGCAAAAGGCCCTAGATGTGCTCTACTCTCAGCACATTTACCGGAATCATCCAACCGGGCTGCGGAGGCAATCGGTCGAATACCTAGACCAATTCATCTGATTGAAGCTTTTCAAGACGTATATATCGACGGCTGAGTGGAAGATCGATCTATCGCGGGAAAGATTTCAATTATGCCCAATTTCAGAAATCTTGTCAAAAACGCTCTATCTCAACATACATACATATTTTCAATATGTTTTCAGTTGAGCCAAATTCTCAGATAGAGCATTTTTAAAAATTTCTGATTTGGGGCGTTTTTTAGTCAAAATCTGAAATAGGGCATTCTATAACCAAATTCTGAAATAAGGCGTTCTAGAACTGGCTGCCGAGATAGGTCGATCTTCTACTCAGCTGCGATATCTTCTCGCCAGTCAGCAACAAATGGGCGGTGGGATCATTTGATCGATGGAAGTCTCCAGTAATGTATGGAATTTATCCGGCATTATTGCAACAGTGAGAATATCTTAGTCACCCCACACCTAGTAGAGATAATGAAAGATAGGTAAAATTGATGCTTAGCTTAACCTCTTTTGTACTAAGATAGGAAGAAGTGGAAGGCGGAAATGGCTGCCACCTACAACGGCACACTTAGGCTATAGATAGAAGGCCTATTGTGTTACCACAATGTGAACCCAGATGACGCAGCCTACTTCTACACAAAGCAAGGCATTTACACAGGCGATGTATGACTGTTTCGCCCCCTTCGTAGTCCTTAGAGCTTTTGAAATATCTTCGGAAAGACACGTCGGAATTAAGCAAAAGTTATATAATATACAAGAGTATCTCTGGGCTTCAGGTTACCCAACATATAGGAAGATTGGTCTAACGACTCCCATAAGTATCCATCGATAATACGGGTACTGGGACACCCATATATAGCCTATGGCCCTTTTACAAATATACATATATAGAGAGCAACAGAAGCCTTTTCATGACGCTGAACTATATTCTCCTTCTAGGTCAGCTTCTTAACTAAAAAAGCGCCCAGAAATTTGGTTTTTACTTGAGCTGACGCTTAGGCCACAGCGTGTGGTCCACCTGAATATATCCCGATGCGTTTGTTGAATCAGCTCACATAGCGTTTGTGTTAACTTTCACCTGAAGGCGATTACAATGTCATAGGCGTATGCAAAGACTCCGCAATCCGTTTCGCACAAATGTGTATGGACGGTTAGATTTCACAGATGAGGAGAAAGAACGCCCCTCATCACAAGCCTCGACATTTCGCACGCTCACAGCTTCGCCTTCACTACCCTGCAGCAAAGCAGCTGACCAATAAACTCCACCAATGAGGACGCCACCCCTAGAGTCCTAGCAGCGTCAGTATACATTTCTGGCATTCCCCGCAAAAAGATCCACGGAAACCGCTCTGTATCAACTAACTATAGAAATCCAAAGTGCGACATTAGCGTAGAACGGCCGAACGATGCCTAATGAATTTCATCGGAGAGGGTTTTGGAAGAGGAAAAGTGGCATAAACTCGAAATGTACGAATATTAAGCGACAGCCAGGTCGCACTCAGGGCTCTTGTTTTTCAATGAAATCAGGTCTGCAATGGTTGTCGAGTGCTTCGACAGACTAAACGCCTTGGCGGCAATAAATAGGGTCTTCCTCCTAAGTTCCGGGCTATAAGGGCACACACTATCAGAGAAGAGCTTAGAGAAGAGGGAACTAGTAGAGAACAGCTCTGCAAGTAGGCTGCGACAGGCAAAGAAGCTATTGGGATGATACAATAACAATATATATGATATGAGAAACTTGTTGACCTACAAAGTACAAACTAAGAATTCTAACAGGTATCTTAACAGATCATTGCTAACTAAAAAGCCACCTACTTAAACTCGGGATTTCAGGTCTAACGCTGTATGCCAGTTCTGTGATATTGCCGTGACGAGAAGACGAGAGAAGCACCTCGGCTCCCTAAACCCGCAGCGTAATTACATATACTCGATGTCACCAAACAACATCTGGGACTTCATAAGAAAGTTATGTCTGAGCGAAGTGTTGTAAGGATGGCAGCGCAATCGTTGTATTTTTCTGTATTTGATTACGTCATAGTCTGTAAAAATGACTTATAGCTGACGAACAGTGCCATAAATATTTTGTGAGAGAAAGTTATAGATAATGATTTTTGTTAATCCAGGCAAAGCTCTGCTTTTCAATTGCATGGCGACTCTTAAGTTGCCCTTGGCACCTAGAGGCCTGGAATTTTCGACTTGAGGTATCCATTTTTTACTGCTCATATTATATTGTACCTATGATATATTATATTATATTCTATTGTATATTATATTTTATAATAAAGATATCTGAAAACATTGCGAGGAGCGAAAAATTCGAACGATCGCAAATGCTATTGCTGGCCTAATATTAATAAAGGCCATCACGGAATCCATCGCAGAAAATCTACGAATTCGAACGCCTCTTACGAATACGAAAAAATTGCTATCACTGAATCCGTGTGAACTCGAAAATATCGTTGCCAGCTTTGAATGCTGATTCGAAATTAGCTAGTGCAAAGGAAACAATAGACATTTATGTATGCCATTCTGTTTGCACTGCACCGGCAGTCGCAATGGCCGAGTGAGCAAAGCACTATACTACCAATTGAGAGATCCGAGTTCGAGGCCGAGTCGTCGGGCAGCGGAGGTTTTTTTCTTTTCTTATTTAACTTTTTTTTCTCATTTAATTTTTTTCTTTTCTTATTTAATTTTTTCTTTTCTTTTTTTATTTAATTTTTTTCTTATCTTATTTCATATTTTTTTATTTAATTTTTTTTTTATTAATTTTTATGGTATTAAAGTAATTAAGTTTATTTCCTAATAAATTGTTGTTAAACTATTATTTCCTCGCTAGGAAGCTACAATTCTGTGATAGCCCTGAATATTTTGTTACAATAACGAAAGACTTAAGCAACGAACTTACTTAGTATGAAAATCAGTGATGAAAGGGAATAATTAAAGACCGTAGGACCTGGCTTCGATAGGTGATACTATTTTGGCGTGCATTTGGCGAGATACATGTTTCAGGTTACCGTTGTTGTAGTGGCCCTTGAGGAAGAAGCCTCTCAAATCATGGCATTTGTGGCGTCTTTGGATGCTGACGGACGCAACATACGTGTGCAGGTATCTCTTCAGACTACGATGGTTTACAAGGCAGAACAATGTGGGAGGTAGCTCCAACCAAAGTATAGGCTGCACTTGAATGGTGCTGCAATCCGATGTGTATATTCAACTTCGAGGGGAGTAATCATCCAAGGAAAGATTTTGTTTATAATGTTAATTTCAGGCACGAAAGTCTTACACAAAAATAGCTCCTTGCCAACTTTCACTGCTCCAACAGCCGCAATGGACCAGTGACATTCGAGAGATCTGAATTTCGAGCCATCGGGCAGCGGAAGTTTTATTTTTAATTTAATTTAATTTTTAAAAATACTTTTTTAGTTTTTTTTTAATTTAATTTTTAGGATTTTTTGTTTTAAAACACAAATATTTTTTTTTTAATTTCATTAAAATTTTAGAAACATTTTTTGTTCTTTTTTACTTTTATGTTACTTTTTTTAAATATCATTTAATATTTAGGAAGTTTTTATTTTATATTTTTTTTGTTTATTAATTTTATTTTAAAATTATGTTATTTCAAAGAGAAAAATATTTGTTTTTATGATATAATTAATAAATTATATATATTTAAATTTTTATATTATTTTTAATTTTTAATTTAACTTTTTGTTTTTTAGTCTAAGTTTTTGGACTTCATTCTTAGGAACTCATTTTATTAATTTTTAATTTAATTAAATTTTCTCTTAATTTTTAGATTATGTTATTTAAAAAGAAATATATTTTTTTATTTCTTTTAATATTTAAGAGCTTATTTTATTATATTTTCTTTCCTTTTTCTAATTTTAAATTTACTTTTAATTTATAGATTTTATTCTTAAAAAAATAAGATTTTATCTTTTTATTTAATTTTCACTAAGTTATTTAATTTCATTTCTTTTAAAAAAGTTATTAGATCACATGGACTATTTTTAAAACTAAAACTTTTTTTAATTGCATTTCATTTTTAGGAACTCTTATTTTAATTTTAACTTTATATGGACTATTTCAAAAAGAAAAATATTTTCATATTTTATTTAATTTTTAGGAATTTGTTTTACTTTTTTATTTTTTTCTTTTTTTTAATTTGGGTTTTAAAATTTAGTGTTTTAAGAAACAGTTCATTTTTATTTAATTTAATAATATTAATTCTAAGATTGTTATTTCAAAGATAAATTTGTTTATTTAATTTAATAAAGTGCCTGTTAATTAAATGAAATTAAAAAATTCAGAATTGTCTTAGGAAAGGCTTTTGTGAGTTGAAAGATAGTTGCCAGAATTGCCGTCAATCTGTTAATTTATTGTTGTTAAATGGCGCGTTCCGAACCCAGCGTTCTACCCATATTTGAAGGGAAAATCAGCGTTGTTAGGAAGAAATATCTGTAGTACGAAATTCGAGATGTTTCAAATCTACCAAATCAAAGAGATTAAATCGAAATATACATCAAGTAGTTTTTTTTCGATTTCAAAGCCTGTACCGAGAAGATAATATTTTGGAAGAGGTGAGACTATTTTAAAAAACCTGCAAAACTTCCATCACAAAATTAAACATCGTTTTTGCATTATTATTATTATTATTATTATTATTTTTTTTTTTCAATTAAAAGAAACAATACGCATATAGTTTATTTCACAATTATATTGTTTTGTCATTTTTATATGTAATGTAAGATTACGTTTTTCTTTTTCTCTTTTCACCACCTGTAACTTAGCACATTTTCGGACACCTCCGAATATTTAACTTATATCTTTTAGTGTACATATGTATATGTATTTTAATGTATGCATGTATGTATGTACTTATATGAATGGGATAGATTTTCAATTGCGTTCTTGTATTTTGTTTGTGTGTGTGGTGTGTGTGTGTGTGTGTATATAAGAAAGTGTCTATGCTCTAAATATAATATCATCTAGTAATAATTAAAATTACAATTGTTCACTTAATCGAAATGCTGTTGCATCAATTCAAATTAAATCACTGCATTCATACAACACAGCGTTTTAATTGGTATGTTGTTGTTGTTTTTGTTTTATTTTGTATGTAGTATAGAATATAACTAATATGTAATTATATAAATACAATTCGCAGCATCATAAATCGAAAATTACAAATTACAGTACATACATTAATTACAGTAAATTAATTAAATACTTAATTACATAAATACTAGTTTGTGGTATGCTTGCCTATTTATGTACGTTTTTTTTTTAGTTTTAAGCTTTATTTAGTTTTATTTTCTCTGTTTTCATGCTGATATTCTGTTTGCTTTGTGTAAGTCGATGTGTGTGTACAGTAGCTTAAAATTAAGTTTAAGTTATTGAAATTTTAATACATATACATACGTATGTATGCATGTATATAATATTTTAAGGGTTTGGTTAATGTATGTTTTTTTATATCTATTGCTACAGCAATATTTTTGCCATTGTTTTTTTGGGGGGGTTTTCTTTAATATTTTTTTTTATCAATGCGCTAATTATACAAGTCAATTATATATTTACTTTTGTTTCTGTCACATGTGTATGTATTTATGTATAATACTATGTATATGTATTTTTACCGCTTGCATATATACTTACACACATACTCGTAGCAGTTTAACGACCTAAAGGGGATTTGTATACCAAATAAAACTTAAACAAAAAAATTTTTACATAATATTAAGTATTTACTAATTGTAATAAAATAGTAGCAATGATTCTTAAAACTGATGTTCTTAAAACTTTGCTCCCGAAATCCACATAATTTTAGTTGCCTTATTGAGCTTAAATTTACTTATAACACTTTTTATAGAAATTTATTTTTATTCAATATTCGTGTATGTATTTGTGTATCATTTTTAATTTTTCTTTTTTTGCTTTTACAATTTTATTTTTTATCTACGCAAGTCATTTTGAGAATTTTTTTATGCTACTGTTGTTATAATTGGGTGACGATATTTCTGTTTGAAAGAATAAATTAAATAAGTAGCAACGTTGCCCGCACCTCAATGTAAATTGTTTGCTTGTCTTCTCAATGATGAATTTCTTGTTTTGTAATTTTTTTTTTTTACTAACAAACTATAAGTAAATCTTCTGGTTGAGATGTGTAGCCTAAACTTTTTACACATGATAAATAGAACCTAAACATACATATATTCGCTTAAGCTTATGCTGGGTATACACCGGGTATTACGTACATAAAAGATTAATCGCCTTATTCATAAAAAATAAAGCAGGTTTAAAGAGCTTAAATAAAATGACGTTTTCATACATACATATAAACCTTGTTTAAAGCTACTTTATTTCTTATGAATGAGGNCGTATTTCACAAATTTTTTGTCATTTCAATGCCTAGTGGTAATTAGATATAGAAAACAATAAGTAGTAGTATAAATAATAAATGTATAATATAATGCCGAGTTTTCATTAGAAAATAAAATTACACAAATGTCTGCCACAAAAAAAAAATATGCAATAAAATGTACTGCGTTACCAATCAAGATGGAAATTACCAAAACTACAACCACTGTCGGACAGGCGATCCTTCCTATCTATAATATTTGTCTACAAGTTCTTATCAGGAAGCATACAATGCCAATAAATTCGCAATCTCCTCAAAGCGAATGAGCCAACTCTACAATTACGCGGTTGTAAGCCTTTTTTTTTTTAGGCTACATATCGTCACCTGAGTGGAAGATCGTCCTATCTCGGCAGCCAGTTCTAAAACGTCCTATTTTAGAAAACTTTTCAAGAACGCCCTACTTCAGAACTTCATTGAATAACACCCTATTTCAGAATTTGCTTGAAAAACGCCCTATCTTAGAATTTGGTTGTAGAACGCCCTATCTCAGCACAAGCATAAACCAATAACTTAAAAGTATGAAGAATTTTTAAATATCATCAACATTTTGTAGCATACTTTTAGGCACCCTAGGTATGACTACAGCCACTTTTGCGAGTTTAGTCGCCTCATGGGGAAAGACTTGTCAGCCAAAGCTTTCATATAAGCACGAAAAATATGCAACATATTTTACTCCGCCATCAACCTGTTCAGTCATTTAGAAGGTTTTTTCAGCAATCAAAATCTAGTTTAGTACTTTTCCGAACCCCACTGCAGCTAAATTCTTCAAAATTCTCTAGCTAGAAACTAGAAGCGCAACAAGTACGCAACGTTAAATTACTTATCTCTCGTACTACCAGAATTGGCTGATTCCCCTTTGCATCTTTTACTCTTTCATATTGCATATTGAGCGTAGCGATGATCAGAACTCCACTGCAGAATTTTTGCGTTTTTAAGGCTAACAGTTATGTTACAGTATGTTTATCAGATTTGGATATTGATGATTTTTCGTTAAGTGAAAATCCTTGAAAGAGTAAAAATATATGAAACTTATTTTAGTTCAGTTTTTAGCAACCAATACAGCACAATACCGCTTGTTTTCCACCTTCATCCCCCACTATACTTAATATATGTAGATACATATTTCTTTGACTCATTTTCGCATATGCACCAGGAAGTAGGAAAAACGGCACTGGTTAGTATATTACGATAAATGTAATAGTTTTTTTTATTATTATTCACATTACTACTATCATTAATATATGTATGCATGTGTATATTTATGTATATGAGTTGGCATGCGCAGAACCAATGTGCAGCATTTATATAATTCAAAATTTAAACCAATATAAATCAGCAAATTTCGCCTATAAAGAATTAGGCGTGTTGCCAGTAAATGTATTAATTTTTGTATTATCAAATAATTTACAAACAATCAATCGAGCTCTTTCGCGCTACCGAATGTTTTGCTCTCTGCTTCACTCAATTTCTATTCTACTTATTATTCGCGCAACGACGCCTACCACAATAATAAAAAATCGTTTCTCCACTACAATTATTCATAGTTGCTAATTATTGTTATTTATATACAAATAGATTTTAGTCGTGTTGTAAAATATGAATGTGTTTATGTAACTAGATGTGTGTGTGCGTACTTGCTTATATGTAGAATTTAAAATATGTACGTAAACAACTAATATTATATGTATATAAACTAAATTTGAAATGATTATGTTTAAATAAAACGAAGATTAATATTAAGCTAATCAATCGCTTATTCTTACTCTCTGCATTGAAACACAAATGTTTCTGAATAAAGGCATGCGATAGTTTTTGTAACGTGTTTAACAAACTTATGGAAAATTCAGCTCGTTTGCCTTAAACCGAATTATTTTCCGCCTGTTTATGACGGCAAGCGTTTTATTTAATTTTCAACCGATTATCTGATCTAATGTGTACTTTCTGTAGTGAGTGATTTAGCAAAATTTTCTGTTTATATACACTCCTATTATTAGGCTTAAAAATGATTTATGCTTAAAACTAACGAATGTTAGGGGATTACAATTAGCCAACGCAAATGCTAATGCATGCCTCTTTCGTTTACATTCATTTCATGCTTTTGTTTTAGGCCGCAGCCTTGCTTGCTTTATTCTGTTGCGTTTTCTTACGACGTTGCTGCGGCATGAGCACGCAACGTTGACGACGCGCACGCTGTTGTGCACGTGACAGTGGACGGCGAATCTTACACATTTGTGTTTTTCAGGACTTCTTTAAGCCCGACTGGCGTCCGCTACTTGCAGTTTGTGGCTCGTTTGCAGCTGGTGTCATTGTTACAGCTGCGGTGGTGGTGGTGGTTGTTGTTGTTGCCACTGCAGCTTGCACTGCATGCAGCTGACAGTATACATTCATTTTCTCTTCAATCAAGTCCCAATTGGCCTCTCGTGCACATGGCACATGTGCCGCTGCTTTGCATTCACGCTGTAGGCAACATACAATTGCACCAGGTTTGTTACACAACGTACATTGGTAGTGAGTGCTATTCCAGACCGCTGCATCGAGTCCCACGACCCGCACCCCAACCAAAAATACATCCGGTGCCCAGACGATGCAATCCTCATGCAGCCACACTTCGTAGCTGCTTTCTGACACTTTAGTCATGCCAAGAAAATTCTGTTGCAATGCCTCGTCTGCGGTACAATCCAGTGGATCAACGTCTGGCAGGACGATAGGTGTGCTTGTGTCAATCGATTTCTTCTTCTTTTTACCCTGCAAAGGGGAATTGCTATTGAATAGCTCTCTTGTGAGTGGCGTGCTTGATATACTCACCCCGCCGGGTGTGCGCGTTGCGCCTGTGCTCGCTCCTATACCCAACGCGCTATTCTTAGCTGGAACCACTGGCAGATTTCGAGGATTAGTCTGTACCATATCAATGCGCCTTCGCTTGCTTAGGAAAATTGAATCCAAATCGAGAGAATCGGGTGCCTTAATTGCTGCCTTATACTCTTCACAATCAACTGTGACCAGATAAGGTCCAAATAAATCACCAAGGCCCATGCGATGAGGTCCTCGCTTGCAAAATACACAAATCCACGTTGAATCGGTTGTGTCTGCATCGTACTTGGTACTCAACGTTGACGAGTGCAAACCTCGCAGATTCTTCCGATCGTGTGCATACCCGGCCGCGCCTGGTGGTTTCTTGAGTTGGCGCGCGCCCGCATGCTTCTCATTAATATCCTCAGCATTCAGTGGCGCATTCACTACACTTATGCTGCCATCCTGTTTCACCAAAATGAAAGGTGATTTATTTTTTATTTGCTCCGCAGTAGCAGTAGACGATTGCGTAGCTGGCGCCTCGTTTTCTAACGAATTTTGTTGCTGTTTACGTCGTTGTTGTTGCTTCCCCGTCAACTTTTTCTTACCAGCACCCTTGCCCGCATCCGCAGCACGGCTGGGACGTTTGCGTGTGTCCTGGGTTTTCCGTCCCTTGGCGTTTTTGGGTGCCGCCTTTGCATTACTTCCGCTGCCACCGGCGGCACGCGATGCTGCTTCTTTGGCTGTGCTAGCAGCCGCTATCTTAGCCGCAAGGGCTGCAGCTGCAGCGGCAGAAGTGCTCGGCTGATCGTCATCATCATCCAAGCATATGA